TTTTTTCTTTTTGCTTATGTGGTGCTGAGGAATCGAACCCAGGGCCTCAGGCATGCAAGGCAAGCGCTCTACCACTGAGCCACCTTCCCAGCCCTTGAGCGCAATTTTTATCAGATATGTTCTGCCTAAAGAAGCCTTCCCTTTTTGCCCTCCTTGGCCTTCCTGGCCCACCACGTCCTGTGCTGCCTCTGTGGCTTCTTCCAAAGCTGGGCCAACAGGTCCCATCCAGCCCTGTCTACATCCAGCTCGGTGATTGTCTCAGCCCAGCAGAGTCCTCCCAGAGCTGGTCCCTGCCTTTCTCCCCGTGACAAGCATGGTCTCTGAGACTCATGCTCTCTGCCTGGCAGTGTGTCTGGTGCAACCCAGGGGATCTCAGACAGCCAGATCCACTGCCTCTACTGACCAGCCCCACCAGCAGCTCCTTTCTGTACCGTAGACGTCCTGGCTAGAAATTCCCTGCAGAGGGGCTGGGAAGGTGGCTCAGTGGTAGAGCGCTTGCCTTGCACGCATGAGGCCCTGGGTTCGATTCCTCAGCACCACATAAGCAGAAAAAGCTGGAAGTGGCGCTTTGGCTCAAGTGGTAGAGCGCTAGCTTTGAGCTGAAGAGCTGAGGGACAGCGCCCAGGCCCAGAGTTCAGGCCCCATGACCAACAAAAAAAAAGAAAAAAAGAAACTCCCTGCAGGGAGTTCTGCCCGCCTCTCTTCTCATAGCCCTCTAGTGGCAGCTGCATGTGGCATAGGTCTCAGCAGGCATCCCCTGGAGGGGACCCAGAGTGTGTGACCCTAGGGCCCTGCCCGGGGGGCCGCCCCGGTGGGCTTCAGGCCCAGCCTGATCCTTCCTCTCTGTCTTGAGTCTGGTGGGCGCGGAGGCGCTGTGGGCCACGGGGCCTGGGGCACGGGCGCAGTGCATGTCTTGCCCTCCCCTCTAGGACCTTAAGCCTGTCATCGATGGAGTGGATGGAATAAAAATCTCTCAGGGGCTCGGGCTGCAGGACTTTGACCTCATCAGGGTCATCGGGCGTGGGAGCTACGCCAAGGTCCTCCTGGTGCGGCTAAAGAAGAACGACCAGATCTATGCCATGAAGGTGGTGAAGAAGGAGCTGGTCCATGACGATGAGGTACGCACACTCCGGGAGCCGCCACGGGCAGGACTCGCCGGGGGCCAGGCGGCACTGACGGGGGCTTCAGGAAGCATGGGGGTGCCTTGCCCTCCCCTTGGGTGCTGTGCATGCTGTGTTGAGACACAAGACGGGGGCTGCCAGAGGCTGCCCGGGTGTGCCCCACGCGTGGCCTGGCTGGGCCCGGCTGGTTCCACATGAGGCTTTGTGTTAAGATTGGGAATGAAGCCGGGCGCCGTGGCTCACGCCCGTAATCCTAGCTACTCAGGAGGCCGAGATCTGTGGACTGTGGTTTGAAGCCAACCCAGGCAGGAAAGTCTGTGGGATTCTTATCTCCAGTGAACCACCAGAAAACTGGAAGTGGCGCTGTGCTCAACATGCTAGAGTGCTAGCCTTGAGTGCAAAAACTCAGGGACAGCCAGCGCCCAGCCCGAGTCAAAGCCTCACGACCGCCAAAGAGAAGAGAGATTGGAGAGCCAGTGGCTTGTATGTTGCAGTCTTTTGCAATCGTGGGAGTTGAACTGGAGCAAGCACGTCCCCCCTGAGTCACACCAGCCTTACTTAGTGCTGTGCTTAGTTCTCGCTTTGTGTGCTCTTTAAATCTAGTATTCTTTATTCCTAGACTTTTTCTCTAGCTTCTGTTTCACTTAGAGTGTGTGTTGAGAAATCTGCGGTCATTTTAATCTTCTTTCTATTGTAATAAAGTCCCCTCTTCGATTTTTCTGCCTTTAAAATTAATTCCTTATTTTGTAAGATTTCATGAGATTTCACGACAATGTGTCTAGGGGTGATGTTTGTCTGGTTTGCCTGCTTGGAGTTCTGGAGCCTCTGTCAGCTGGGTGAGAGTCTTTCTTGAGGTTGGGGAAGTTTTCTGTTACTACTTTGTTGGATGGGTTCTCTCTTCCGGTCATATGTAGATTTGATCTTTGCCTCTGGTATGTTCTGAGTGTGTTTTCAGCACCTTGGATGGTTCTAACTCCTCTGCTTTCATCTTCGACCCCTGATAGCCTGTTTTCCACTTCTTTTGTTGTTGCCTGTGTGTTCGTGCTTCCTAGCTAGCTCTTTGTTGATGTGTCTCTCATGTCCTGCATCTTCTTTTTCTTTTTCTTTTTTGTTGGGCGTGAGGTTTGAACTCTGGGCCTGGGCGCTGTCCTTGTGCTCTTCAGCTCAAGGCGAGCGCTCTACTGCTTGAGCCACAGCACCACTTCTGGTTTTATAATGGTTTATTGGAGATAAGAGTCTCACAGAGTTTCCTGCCTGGGCTGGCTTTGAACCTCGACCCTCAGATCTCAGCCTCCTGAGTAGCTAGGATTACAGGCAGGAGCCACCGGTGCCTGGCTCTTTTTCTTGTCTTGTTTAACCGCCGTCTCTCAATAGTCTTCAAGTTTTTGAGGATCTACTCTTCTTTCATCAGCCATTTCTCTTGTTGTTGCGTTAATGATTCACTTGCTTATTCTTTCTTCTTCCCACTCCCACTCAAGTCCTGCCCTGTGTGGCTGGTGTTTTTTTGAGGATGGCAAGTTGTCTTGTTTGTGCATAAATCCTGAGGACTTTTGCTGTAATTCACTCATCTGGCTGGATTCAGATCTTTTTTTTGGGGGGTGGGGGGGTCCAGTCGTGGGGCCTGAACTCTGGGCCTGGGCGCTGTCCCTCAGCTCTTCAGCTCAAGGCTAGCACTCTACCACTTGAGCCACAGCGCCACGTCTGGCTTTTTTCTTTATGTGGTGTTGAGGAATCAAACCCAGGGCCTCAGGCATGCAAGGCAAGCGCTCTACCACTGAGCCACCTTCCCAGCCCTGGATTCAGATCTTGTAAAGGCCGGCAGTGTAGGTCGGAGTTCCGTGGTGAGTGTGCACTTAATGAAGTGAGAGTGAGCAGCTTCGACTCAAGAAAAGGTTCCCGGAGAGATCAGCGGGACAAAATGTAAATTTATGGAGGAGGAAGAAGAAGAAAGAAGGGCCAGCTTCGCCTCCATTCCCTCAAGGTGTCACCAAGTCTCCTCCTCCTCCTCACCTCCGTTCCCTCAGGAGTGACTCCCACGCCCCCCCCTCCTCACCTCCGCCCCTCCTCCTCCTCACCTCCGTTCCCTCAGGAGTGACTCCAAGCCCCCACCTCGGCTCTGCAGTTCCTGCCACTCCGGGCTGGGGTCCTTGGTCACGGCTCTCTCCTGCAGCTGATGGGCAGATGGAAACGCAGACTCAGTTCCTGGGGGCCACACATGTGCTGACGCAGAGTCCTCGGGGGCAGCAAGGGATGGGGCCAGGCACTGGTCGTGTGAGCACGGATGTGGTAGACGAAGAGCTCTGTGGAGGCCTGGTCCAAAGCGGGGGCCGCCCGAGCATAGGTGTTGAGTAGCGCCGAGTCTGGGGCACGAGGAGCCATGGGTCTGGAGTGGGAAAGTGGGCTGAGGCCGGCCAGGCTGCGTGGGAGGCCGAGGCCACAGAGACCGCAGGCCAGGCCAGCCAGGCAGAGAAGTCCCCTCGCGTCATCCCGACAGAGGGGAGTGGACACGGAGCCACACCCCTCAGTAACGAAACCTTCAGATGAGGGGACTGAAGTCCAGACATGTGTCCCGGCAAGACGTGAGACCTTAACCCAAAAGTAGCCAGCAAAAACCAGGGCTGTAGGCGTGCAGCAGCAGTAGAGCACCTGCCTAGCGAGAGCAGGGCAGTAAGTTCAAACCCCAATACAGCCACAATTTTTTTTAAGCCCAGAGGCCATAAGAATGGCTTATGGGGCGGTGGAGGTGGGCAGTGGGGTCAAGATGGGGGGGTGGCTGGTGATGGTGGACGCACCTCGATGATGCCATCCTGTCCCCCACAGTCTCCCGAGCGCTGCATGGCTGCAGTCCAACAGTGGCGTGGATGATGAGCACCCGGGCGGGTGCTGGCATGGGGGTGGCGGTCGGGCGGGCGGGCTCCTGCTCACTTTTCTCCACCAAGGACTCCCGGGGCCTCAGTCAGGCGGAGACCTTCCCTCCGGGAGCCTCACAACCCTTCGTGGTGTCTCTTTCAGGACATTGACTGGGTGCAGACCGAGAAGCACGTGTTTGAGCAGGCATCCAGCAACCCCTTCCTGGTCGGCCTGCACTCCTGCTTCCAGACCACAAGCCGGTAAGAGACACCAGCTTCCAGTCCCCGACATCCCTGGTTGCGCTTCCAGTCCCTATGGCGCCGTCCCTCTCGATGGCTGCTTTGTGGCTCTCATTGTGGGTATCACATTAGATGAGTTCCCTACACAGAAACAGGTGTGTGATTCCAAGTGGTTGGT